GTTCATTGCTTTTCCATTGTGCAGCAATTTCTTTTCCCATTGTGCAGCAATTTGTGTGTGTGCTGAGGGAATGGGATCCTTATAGAATAATTGTTTGGATGTGTTTGGTTTTCGGTTGGCCCGTCATGTATGAAAATATATAATATATATATATATATGTATATAATATTAATATATTCCTTTCCAGCTCAGCACTGAAGGATGAGGGTCGTATTCTCGGGCATATCTTCCGAGGTCGTAAAATACAATAAATACGTGGTTAGCGGTTAGCTGCTCCTTTTGCAAGAAACATCCAAGAAGCTCCAAAACACTGTATAGTAAATAGTGGGAAGCCCTGAATAACTAGTGCCCAGATCTCACAGATGTTCTGTTTTTACAAGACTCTTTGGTCGTACAGAAGAAGACCCTAAATAGAGACTCGTACTTCATGAGCGAACACCCGCAGCCGAAGAACACGCCAGAGTGCCACAAGCAACTCGGTTCCACCAAAGGTCACCGGTTCCATGATCATAAGAACGTGGAATTGTCATTGGATTTACATAGTGTCTTTGATTTTCTTTCAGTAACATGGACATGGAAGGGCTTCACATTTTGATTTGCTTCAAGCTGAACAACCAGATGATAGAAACAAACTGCGAGTTTGGAAAAAGAGCCAACCACCCACACAAAGTATCAAACAGAATTGCAAACAGCCAGTCCAATCATTTGCACAGCCAGTCCACCCGAGTCCACCATCGTCCACCTGTCAGTTGGATCAAGTGCCGCTGGAATCTTCTCCACGGAAAATGCTGCTTGCCACGTTCCCACAACCTCCGTGAAGACAACTGAGCCATGCCCACTTAGCTTGTAATGAGCACGGCTTAAGGGTCTTGTCATAAGAGCTGGGGACATAGGCACCCTCTTACGACATAGGAATCAATCAAGCTTTCCAGCACAGCTCAACTGTTTGCAAGCTTCAAGGGAGATACACGGAGGTGGTATTCCTATCCATCCTCATCCATGGGAGAAAACATCCCTCATGGATGAATAGAGATGACTATAGGATGACTATATGGATGATGTGAATGCTTCAAGGGAGATACAGTCATCCTATAGTCATCCTAATACAACTGCACTGCAAACTTGTGCTGCTTTGCCTTAGAGCTACCACTATTTACAGTTTTGCAATGCAGGGCTTTCTTAGGTTGGAGGCCATCGCTAGTAGGTTGGAAGCCATCGCTTCTAGGTTGGAGGCCGTCGCTATTAGACACCAAGAACAAAGGGTGATGTTTTGTGTTTAAACCTTCGCTCCAAAGAGGGATTCCTTCCCGTTGAATCCAAGCAGGTCATGCAGCGGGCAGGGACGCCCCACTACATGGCCCCTGAGGCGGGTTCTGGAATCCTGAAAAGAGTGCAGGTTGACATGGATATCTAATGGATCCATAAGATATACAGTATACGGATCCATGGATATATCTATATATTTGTTTTGTTTTTTTAATGGTTATGTCTATACATATATATATATACACATATACACATGGATTAATATGGATATGAACTATAGTGCATAGACTAGCTGATGCCAATGGACTCGTTTTCAATGGTACACAGTCGCCACAATGGACTGCAGAGTTTCGGGCCGTGTGAAGCGCGTGTCACAGGCCGTTGGCCGGCTTCGTTCGCCGGTGGGTTCCGTTGTCGGAACGAAACCGCAGCGGAAAGCACATGAAAAGGAAAGATCCAATCCACCCTGTCAAAGAATCCTTTTTTTATGCTTTCGTTTGTTGCATGGCTTTGAATACTTATGGAACTGAAACTGTGCCAAGCTTAGAACACCAGAACATGGTGGTCCGATCAAGGCCGTGGATCGTACTGGGCAGGTCTATGAAGGCCAGTACGGTGAGAAGGCAGATGTTTGGTCGACCCATGGCTCCACCGCGCGCGACGCACGTGACGCACGTGAAGACTTGCGTGGGAATGAAGTTGGCAGCGCTGAAAGAATGATGACAAGCAGGTCACCCGGGGGCTTCGATTGTGATCTTGCGCATTGGGCAATTCGCTTCATGTATATCATCTTCACCTTTAAAAGATGAACATGAAAAGGAATGCGTAGACTATAGGGTTTCTGTTTTTGTTCCTACAAATGGGTGGGCAATAATTATACTTCTTGGGAATATGGTTATTCCTACCGTCAGGTTGCCCGTGTTCTTTTTTGGTGATGCGGAAAACGGTGCTTATCCAAAACCTCCCTTTATGGAAGAAGTCAACGTATCCTACGGTATAAGAGCCGTCCTCCAATGAGCATATATGTCCGATCCACAGGATGAGCACCCTTGCCTGATTGGACTGGGGAACAGACCTCCTCTATCCTTATAATGACCACCTTCGAGCTACAGGTCAGGTCATCACAGGTCCTTTGTAATGATCCACAAATTGGCTTTGAAACACAAGAGGGTGGCGAGTTCTGGCGGGTGCAGCAAGGCGTTGTGCAGGAGTGTGTTTTGGATGATCAATGTCGTAAAGGAAGACGAGACGTGCAAAGGAGAAGGACAAAAGAGGACACTGTGACAAGGAAGAGAGGCTTGCACGAAGGAGTAGGTTTTTTGAAGAAGGAGGTCTTTTCAATGCAAACAACTCTCAAGGAAGGAGGATTCTGGTCATTCTGGTCGCAACACAGGAGGAGTTTGAATCACAAAAGAAGATACTTTCATGATGCGGACGTGACCGAATTGCAACTAGCTGTTCTATCACGGGTGGACCTTGAGAAGGAGCTTGGGAGGAGATATGCAAAAAGGACAAAGGAGAAGGTTTGGACAAAACCAGAGATGTTTTGGGACTGGATAAGACCAATTGAAAGTATGCTCACAAAGAATGTACCCAAACTGCTTATGCAATGATCTATTCATTAAGACGCATGCTCCCGGTTCTGGGCCAATGCTAAGTCTGCTCAGAGACAACCACAAGAGAATCATGTTTCAGACAAAATGTGCCAAGCCCCGAAACAACACAAAAACAGCAGGATAAAGACCAGCAGGTCATTTAGGTCAGATTCGGTCAGATAAGTCTCTACAGGGAACTCTGATTCAGATGATCCAGGGTTGGCTTCATTTGGTTCATTCCCCACATCAAAATCGCTTTCTCTAAGCATCTCTAAGCAGTCCAGGATCGGTGTCATGATCTTCGAGATGCTCACGAATCGCCATCCTTTCTACACATTGGGCAATGACCTGGAGACGGCGTGCCACCGATAGTGGAGAGCCGCAGAATTTCTTTGTAGGGAAAAGAACATGGAAGTGTTTTTCTTGGACTTAGAAGGCACCTCAGCCTCCACATATCAGCATATGCCTGTATTTTGGAAACCGCACAAACAATTGCCTTTCAGAAAACAAATGTGTTTTAGTTGTGATTGTGACAAGTCGGAAAACGGCAAATGTTGTGCTAGCGAGGAGAGAAACCATACTAAGAAACAACATTTTTTGGGTGTCCACTCCCCGTCCATGGATTTTGAGCACATGTTTGCAACGACTGAAACGGCGTGTTTGTTTGATGACGATGTTTTTCCACTGAAAACTGCCATGACTCTGGGACTCTGGGGGGCCAAAGGCCGTGACCGTGACTCCCCCCGCCGCACCAGGTGAGACGAAGAATCCTGGCGCCTCGAGGGGCGGACTTCGTGGATGCCTCCTGGAGACAGGCCCGGACACGACCGAGGTGGCCGAGGGGTGACCGAGCAGGGCACCAGTTGGGCAGGGGATCCTGTTGGGTTGGGCATTTTCACTGCAGGTCGCGAAGAGCCAATCTCAGGTCCTCTATGTTGATTTCATGTGTATCTTCAAGATGTTGGCGTCCCCCACAATCCAACATAGGAAGTTTAGGCGGTTGGCGGTTGGCATGTTGCAGATTTAAAGATATTGCTTCCACTGTTCACGGTGTTCCGTCATGTTCCATCTGATGTTTCTCCACTTTGCATTCCCAATGTGCTTGAGCTATTCACGACAAGTTCTGAGGTGTTGTGAGGTGTCAACAGAGTTGCAACCATTTTTCACTCGATTGTAGCAGGTCTATACTCAACAGGGGCACAGGTCCGATATGAACCGTCGGCCCCCCAGAGGTCCGTGGGCACCGGAACCCAGGGGTCGGATAGAGGAACTTCCTCCATCCGCCTCCAACCTAAGAGCCGAACCTGGATCAGATGCTGGAACATGGTTGTTTCCAGCTGACGGTAAACCGTGTTTGTTTTTTTGGCATGTAGCACGCCTCTCTACTTTGACTTGGAAGAGGAACGTGTTTTAACATGTGTTTAACATGTTTTAACATGTTTTAACTACTTGTTTGTGGTGCGAAACGATTGCCATTTGTAGTTTCGTTAACAGAAGTTGGGCTCTGGTTTTTCCTCTAACAAGAACAGCATTATCTTCCACCCCAGGATCCTTAGGGAAGGATCCATCCTTCTTGTAGCCCTTCGGGCCAAAACCATTTGCAGGTGAGCCCTTCCGCCTTGAGCGCTTGCAGCATTGCTTTGGAGTGACTTGGTTTCCGGATCTGGGCTTGCGCTTCTCGTTTGTGCGCATGTTATCCCGAAGGCTTTGCTGGCATGAAGACATTGCTTAAGGAGAGCAGTAGGCAAGGCAGGAGGAAGAGGGTTTGATAGAGTGTTGTTACATGTTGTTAATGTCAACTTTTAAGTTTGCCATCATACCACATCGAAAGCGGCAAAGGGGGGGGTCAGTTGCCCGGACTTAGCTCAGATGACTTCTACACAGTGACTGCAGAAGACTTTGTCACTGTTTTCTTAGCGGTTGAAACTAAGCTATTTGACCATATTGACCAATAATTCATGTACCAGTTGTTCCATTCCTTTCCTTCTGCCGTCTCCTTACCTTGCATAAAAGCAAGCTGCCAGCTGCTGCGCCACTCGGTGCCGCTTCTGGCCCAAACTGGTGGGCTGTTTCCCATCCAGGAGTGTCCTCCCTCTTCGGGCCCATGGTGGTCGCGTCGCGTTGGTTGCACCGCATGCCATGGCGCACCCGTCTTACGACATCTCTGAGATCATGGGCAGAGTGGCAGACAAGGTGGCAGCTATGGAGCCAACGTCACCTGAGGTGATCCGGGCCGTCACGGCTTGCCACGCCTTGCGCTGTGGACGAGGGATTTCCAGGCGAGGTCCAGACGGGATGAAGACCTGAGGACCTGATGTTCACAATTTGGACGAGAAATATACATCAGATGCCCCACTTCACCCAGGGTCACTTTTCCGGGTGAGGTTTTTCTTTTTTATAGTTATGATATATATATAATTAATAACAATACTAGTAACAATAAACATGGTATACTATATGTATATCACAATTAATATATATATATATATGTTAATAGATGATGTCATAGTAATTATTATAGATGTGTTTCGATCAGCTAAGAAGACCTATTCAATGGGCCAGGCATGAGTACCGAAAGAGCTTTCCGACCACTCAGATCAAGCAATTCTGGAGTCACAGCTGGCAAGGCGGGGCTGATTCTTGTGTTCTTTTATGAACCAATATATATATATATTAAATTGAAGAAGACATAGTTGCCTCCCCAAGAAGCGAGATCAGCTGACCTTTTTTGGCCGCAAGCCATGTTCACGGAGAATCCCATGGAAAGGTGGCTGGCGAAGTAAGATCACAACGTTGCTTTTCCTCCATAATCACATACCAGCCGTGATTTGCTCCAGCTTGGGAGCTCTTGTGGTTGCAAGCCTTTTCGCAGCCAAGCTTCTCCCGGGCCCTGAGTGGGACAAAGAGCTGTGGATTTATCCCCGTGGCTTTTGGGCGATGCTGGTGGGGCCTGTGATATACTTATTGGTTCTCTTGCTTTGGCAACCACAGCAGTCGGTTTTCCTTGACATCATGTGCATTGACCAAGAGGATCCACGCCAAAAGGCAAGCGGAATGTTGAGCATGGGGGCCTTCCTGAAGCTCAGATAGCTCAGTTTATTTGGTTCAGCAAAGAACTTTCAGCAATCTTTCTATTTTTGCTTCTTTGGAGAAAACAAGATGGAGCCCACAAACCCGAATGCAAACACGTTCGAAAAGCTACATATGTCCAAACCGAGTGCGTGTAAAATAGACATATTATTCCATGTCACTGTTTTTTATCTGGTCCAGCTCGCTAACGTTTAGGTTCCGCCAGCCACATGACCAGGCAAACAAGGGGCATCATGCGCTGAGGAAACTACCACCAAAGCATCATGCGCTGGGGACTCTACCACCAAGCTCCGTCGCCTTCTCGTTACATGCAGAGCATTCAGCATTCTTCGTTCCGCACTCCATCAGGCAATGGCGTAAAGAATCAGGCAGATCCACATCATGAAAGAAACATTTGCATTATCCAACAGTCTCAAAAATAAGCACCTGAAAATGATGACCATGGACATAATACAGAAACAAGTCATGACTGCGGCGTTTGGTCTTGTTGTAAGTAGGAATGCAAGACCGTGCGTTGCCGCATCTCACCTGCATCAAGAAGAAATATATAATACACATATCAACATACAGTCACAATATGGAAGTGAATAGTTTTAGCCTATATCATCAAGTGCTTCCAAAAAATAACGCTCGTGAGGGCTTCACGAACACCAGCCAGCAAAGATGCATTATATAAACATTTTTAGTTGTCTCACCAGGGACCAGGGCCTCGGACCGCGGACGTCTGGGTCCAAGTGTTGCCAATGATAAAGCCAAAATTGAGCTCCGTGGACGAAGCAACAACGTCGACGTCTTGCCGCAAGTTTCCAAACAAGCACTCACGTCACGCTATAGAGACCAGGGCCGCGGCGCCATGCAGAACGCACTCTCTTGCTCCTCATCACGGAGCTGTCGCCCTCTTGTAGCGAACTAGCATTGCGCCATCCACCACCTGCCCCGAGGACATCATTGCCGCCTTTCAAAAAAAGGCAAAAGGAGAATTGCGCAGCAGTGCGGTCATGGACCACTCGTCCAGCCACGTCCCCGCAGCTTCGCGTAGCAGACATCCGGTAGAAGTCCAAGAATGCTTTGGGTGTGCAGGCACGAATGTGTCGCCCAACAATCTTGCAGAGACCGCGACCGCAGTTCGGTCATCCCAGCAAGCCACATCGCCGGAAGTGAAACGAGTCAAGCGTCGTGGGTGTAAGAACACTTCCTCTAAACTTCACGCGTCAAGTCTCCCAAACGAGCGTTTCGTATGAGACGTCCTCCAAAACTCACTTCCAACATTCACACGTCAAGTCTCCAAAGCGAGCATTTCGCACGAGACTTCCTCCACAGGGCAAGCAGGAAGGCCCATCCGAGCACACGCATCCAGCACCCCTGCCAAGCAGGTTTGCAATTCCACCGCCTCCAAACAACACCCGCTCTCACGCCAATCCCAATGTCACAGCGACATTCACTCCAACACGCACAAAGTACTGCGTCTGCCACGAAAAGCGACGATATCATTTCATGTTAGTGTCAGCAAAATTTTCACCACACCACACGATTGGAAAGATTTCGACGCGTTCTGAGCACACTCCCATCCACCAAACTCGCCATTTGAGCTGAGAAACGTCACGAAAACACAGCTTCGAATCAAAAACCTGAAACGCAAATCTCAATGCCACAGCCACATCCAACACCCCAAAAACGCAACCCTCTAAACGCCAATCCCAATCTGACTGCGCAGAAAACTGCGGATCTCACAAAACGCTGCGCCTGCGCAGTGAGATCATCCTCCACCCTTCAACATCTCACGTTTCCACAACCCTCTCCAAAAGCTTCCCCCAATGTCAGCGCCATACTGCAAACGGGTGCAAACGGTTGACAGCGGTTGCGAACGCTCAGACAACAAGTCGCGAACAAGGCCCTACCCCCAGACCCCCAAAGTTAAACGAGAACCCTTCGCTACGCATTCGGGAATTAATTCCAAGAAGGTGCCCCGCTTGTAAAGTTATAACGTGAGTGTTTACATAGGATATCGTAGGATGCTTGGCCTTGTTGAACCTTCGGTTCAGTCGGGTTCAGTTCATTGAGGGCTTCCTAGCTTCAAGAACACGCCGCAGTGAGGAAGTGTTCCAACTCACTGTTGGTTTTGTGGGATCCCTCGTACACGCGTCGCTTGTGGTGCATCTTTGAATTAGCCGCCTTCCTGCACACCCGCCCGACGGGCAAGAAGTTCAAGCTCTTGGTGCGGCCGCTGATTTTGGGACCCTGCTCAGTCTCCTGCAAGAACAATACAGAAGATATTCCAAAGTCGTGTCATCCCCTGAGAAGTCCCACAGATTTTGTGTCAACTCTCAGTTGTCGACTTCCAACTCTGACACTAGGTTGAGATCCCATGAAATGATCCTTGCTTGTTGGAGTCTTCCCGGAATCTTGTCAGTTAGGTTCTCCTGACGCTGACCATGGTGGTGGTCGTCATTGCCATTGGCTGGGTTCCACAACGAGACGGCCTGGCAGGCGAAGTTGCGAGACTTAACATTCCCAGACACGACCTGTTTGGGACTGGCATATATACCGATGAGTTGGTGTGGAAAGGGGTGAGTGTCACATACTCCACACATCAAGTGTTGATTGAAAACCTTATATTGTGATGATGATGATGATGATTTCAGTTTTCTTTAATATACAATCAAGGGTTTCCATTCTTGCATGACACGAGCAAAGTGACGCAGCACAGTGGTCGATCGAATGGAGATCTGCAAAAACCCTAAGTCCGTCTCAAACAGGGTTGCAGTCGTTTTTTGTTTTGCCGAAAACAACTCCTGCGAATCATCTTCGTCCTGCGAGCGTTCAGGATCAGAGGCGCTGTGGGGCGGTCAAGTCTTGGTTCTGTTCATCGGCTTGTGGGCCATGATTTCCGTGTCTCGCCGGTACTTCCGAGCTGTGGAGCAGTTGCGAAACGAGTGTCTCGTCTCCGAATCCTTCAGAACAAAAATGGAGCGAATGGGTTCAAACTGTGGGGGCCAATCTCGCAACATGTAATGTTGGATCCTGATTAGTAAAGGGGGGTCCCCCCCCTCCCCTCAAACAAATGGAGGATCCTCTATAATAAACTACCACCAAAACAAAGCTGGATTCCTGTGAGGATTCCTTTTGTAATTTATTGTAATTAGTATTCAGCTTCCTTTCTCAGGTGCTTTGTAATTGTTCTCAGCAATCCTTTTGCTCTGCAGCCTCAGATCTTCAGCTCAAGAGAAGCCCTAAGCTTTCAGCTTCTTCCTCAGCTTCCATGGCTTCCTAAGTAAAGGAAGATTCCATGAGCAATTTTTCCAGTGGAAAAAACTTTTCACAATTGAGAACCCAAAAACAAA